ATGTCTGTTTGTTTTGCTCATATATTATTGTCAATATAAAGGAATTCTATGCGACTGTCATATATATATATGCATACTTGTGAGAGGTTTAGCTAGCTATAAAACCGGTTTTAATCAACCATTTTCTACATAAGGAAATACCTGTGCTAAGTTAGGAATATGACAGTTTTGTTCCTTTCGTTTGGATTGTTTCAGTTTTTGATTTTGCCATTTGATAATGAACTTTCCATTTTTAATTTTCCTTGGAGATCGGTATTTTTGTTATTTTACTTATAACCAAATGAGAAATTTTGAAATTGACAGACGGATACACAAAATTATTACCATAACAAACAACACAGACATTGCAAAAGTAAAAAGCACACATGAACAACTCTTAAGACTAGAGCAAGAGCAACACGAATCCGTTTAAAACAAACCTAGGGGTGATCTCATGTGTTGCGGGAGGGTAAACAGGTTCTTTTATACGTATGGCCCCGTCGTGTTGATTATGTAAGTACAAACTCACTCGGTGAGAAGTTTAATTCTGTCATGTCACGTTTAAAAAATGTTTATTATTATTATTATGGGTATTATAGTTACGTCATTTTGAACGTATCCGTTGTCATCTGTGAAACATATATTCCTTTACGGTCAACCACGTCGTGATTGCGTCCGTAAAACTTTCGAAACGATGTCTTCATCTTTGCCACTTAATTGAAACCCTTTATGTAGTAGCTTCCTTTATAACATGTGTCTACCAACAAAAATCTTTAAGGAAAATATATGCAGGTGCTACTGGAATATTGCTACATAGAAATATAAAGTTGACAATTTGGAAGTTCAAACCGTTTCTTTTGTCATAAAGTGTTGTCCTCGACCCAACGTCATTGTCAATTTCTGGATGAAGGTCAAGATATGAGACAGACTTAACTGTATTTGTTATATCCTTTGTTTCAAGTTCCATGGAACAGATTCGTTAAACATAGTCACAAATCATTTAATTATTAGTGAAAACTATTATCATCTATATAGCGAAACGTGACGTTCATTCAACATAAGAAGCTCCTGCATAAAATCTGCCTCATATGATAAAGAAGCAAGAAGAGGAGCACAGATGGATCACATAGGGATGCCGATTGTTTGTTAAAAAACACGTCCTGTAAACGTTACAAATAGGTTGTCAACAAAATAATAAAGCATCTTGATAATGTCAGTTTCAGAGTATTTTCTGTTTGAATCGGAGTGTTTTTTGGCAGAGTATGGTTTGTTCCTACCTAAACTTGAGGTTTCGTGGAGCACCCAACAATATAACGTTTGTAAGGAAAGTATGTTATTTATGTATCCAATCAAGTGAAGAAAGATCCAGTCCTTCATTTTTGTTGAAATTCCAAAGGAACATAGAACAGACCGATGATTATTCTGGTTTTCCTCTTTGGAATGTGTCTTAAAGCTTCTGGGTATATTAGACAGTAACATATGTTCAACATGTAAAATACGTATGTCTAACCTGAAGCACCAACCTATCACGGAACAACCACCTTGACAATATCACGAAGAAAGCAAACTTCACCTTTGCATTTCAAGAATCTGCAGTAAGGCGAACGCCAAATGCGACATCATCCCAGTCTGAATAAAGGTGGAACATGCAGCAACAATATGTGACCAACACACAAAACAGAACATAAACAAACTTGACCCTGCGGTATGGGTTTTGCTCATTGTTGAAGGCCGTACGTTGACACTTAGTTGTTTACTTTTATGTCACTTGTTCTCTGGTGGAGAGTTGTCTCATTAACAATCATACCCGTACCACATCTTTTTTATTATATATTTAACAGATTCAGCGAAGTGCAGCTCGATTCACACATGGTGACTTATCGTCTTACATCAGTGTTTCAAAACCTATCTCAGAACTCAAATAACAAGACACAATAAAACAAGATAATGTGTCTTTTCCAAGTGACTAGCTTTATCCATAATAGCTTTGTAATAATACCATATTGGTGGTAATAAGCACTGTTTCGATTTTTGTTAAAACTAGGCATTTTAGCTTCTCAGTTGGTAAATAGAGTCCTCTCTCTATTGTCAATGAAAATGTATGACCCTCCCAAGGGAGACACCTAAACAAAGGATCTCTAATTACAGAGTCACTTACGGAAATGGACAAATAGACTATTGCATTTTTATTACTTATACAATTCTATATAATAATAGTGAGCCATTAAGAGGTATCATTAATTAATTCAAATGATAATTATAATATTATATTTCATTTGATTGTGAAATGAAGATCATAAAGTTGTTCCAGTAGGCAGAATTATGATATCGTTATATTAATATGATTATTCCCAGGGGATACCACCAGCCTATAGTTGTTGTTTCAATCTGGAGATTGAAAAGGTCGTATCACGTGACATTTTTCTATACAAATGCCTAGATTTTTACACAGGCGAATTAAGCAAATGTTATGATTCAATTAAATTTTCACCTCAAAAGTATACCACGCTGTTCTTGTTTGACTTCCTCGCCCTGATGAAAACCTACCGTAAGGTGACATCGTCTCAATGTTGATGTTGTCATTCAGACAATGTTTTACTGATCCCAACGCTGCATAGATTTCTGACGTTATCACGTGACGTCTCTGTGTAAAATTAAATCAGACACGGTAAAACGGACGATCTCGGAACAAAAGTATTACTTCTGTACTTGTATTAAAATATGGATATTGCTTAATTGAAAGTTGCATTTGGAAAAATTTAGAAATCATTTAGAATTAAGGAATATATCGTCCTTGCATAGCTCTGATTCCTTGACCGTATTTTGCTATACTTTTGATCTTTCTTTTGTTTTTTACATTGTATATCAGCTCGTCGACGTTTGTTTTATGCAATGGATTTTAAACTAATTTGGCCTCGAGCATCACTTAAAAGACATTAATTGTCGAAATGCGCATCTGGTGCAGACAAATGGGTACCGTAAATGTTCTAACTGTCATTACAAAGTAAATTGGTGGTTATAAATTGACCATTTGATAGTAAAACTATGACCAGATTATATCGATTATGTCTGAAATAGAGAATTTCACCTTCAAAAATGTGCAGTGCAGAAAGTTAAAAAATCAATAAGGCATGGACAAATGTTATGTTCATATTTGGAAAGCCAAAACAAATTGGTGTTCTCATTATTGGAAAACATATCGTTTGATGATGCAACGAATCATTTTTTCTGCAGTAAGTTGTAAAACGAATGAACAACACGTTATTAACCATTTTATTAAGAGAAAAACACTTTAGTATTATCATTGAATCAGACATGTTATGTTTTCACTTTACGCATGTGCAACAAATTAGCGATGTCCATTCGTAGACAAAATAAAGTCAGTAAATAAGTTATTTCAATCAGACTTTGAATCTATTATTTATTCTTATTGGTATTGTATTGTTTTCACATGCACAACAAGTATAGGCGAGATCCATTCGTTGGCAAAAATACAAATAAATAGATAAGTTATTTTTTCACTTTGCACAACAAGTAAAGGCGACATCCATTTGTTGGCAATAATACAAAAGAATGAAAAAGTTATTTCAATCAGACTTAAATTCTAGCTATTTTGTATTCGTATACATATGATATGTTTTTCACTTTGCAAGTCAAAGAGCACATGTACAAAAGGTAGCGCTATACATCCGTTGGCAAAAATAAAAATAAATAAATAAGTTATTTCAATCAGGCTTAATTTCAAGCGATTTTTTTATTCTTAAAATGGTATTTTTCACTTTGCAAGTAATAGAACGCATGTGCAACAAATTAGCGATATCCATTCGTAGACAAAAAAAGTCGGTAAATAAGTTATTTTAATCAGACTTAAAAGCTTTTTTTTTTATATTCTTATTGGTATTGTATTTTTTTCACTTTGCACGTCAAAGAGCACATGCACAACAAGTATAGATGAGATCCATTCGTTGGCAAAAATACACATAAATAAATAAGTTATTTCAATCAGACTTAAATTCAAGCGATTTTTTCATTCTTATTGATATGGTATTTTTTTCACTTTTCAAGTCAAAGAGCACATGCACAACAAGTTAGCGATATATATTTGTTGGCAAAAATACAAATAAATAAGTAAGTAATTTCAATCAGACTTAAATTTAAGCTATTTGTTCTTATTGATATGGTAGTTTTCACTTTGCAAGTAAAAGAGCACATGCACAACAAGTTAACACTATCCATTCGTTGGCAAAAATACAAATAAATAAATAAATTATTTCAATCAGACTTAAATTCAAGCTATTTATTTTTTTGTATTGACATGGTATTTTTTCACTCTACAAGTAAAAAAGAACATGCACGACAAGTTAGCGCTACACATTCGTTGGCAAAAATACCAATAAATAAATAAGTTATTTCAATCAGACTTAAATTCAAGCGATTTTTTCATTCTTATTGATATGGTATTTTTTTCACTTTTCAAGTCAAAGAGCACATGCACAACAAGTTAGCGATATATATTTGTTGGCAAAAATACAAATAAATAAGTAAGTAATTTCAATCAGACTTAAATTTAAGCTATTTGTTCTTATTGATATGGTAGTTTTCACTTTGCAAGTAAAAGAGCACATGCACAACAAGTTAACACTATCCATTCGTTGGGAAAAATACAAATAAATAAATAAATTATTTCAATCAGACTTAAATTCAAGCTATTTATTTTTTTGTATTGACATGGTATTTTTTCACTCTACAAGTAAAAAAGAACATGCACGACAAGTTAGCGCTACACATTCGTTGGCAAAAATACCAATAAATAAATAAGTTATTTCAATCAGACTTAAATTCAAGCTATTTTTTTATTATTATAACGGTATTTTTTCACTTTGCAAATAAAAGAACACATGCAAAACAAGTAGGTAATATACATTCGTTGGCAAAAATACAAATAAATAAATAAATAAATAAATAAGTAATTTCGATCAGAATTTATCACTTAAAGATAGCAAAGTATGTTACTACGTCAATTCCTCCGATATGCGAATCGAAGCACCCCTCGAGAACCAAATTTCTTCGTTCACAATAGGACTTCACATACGAACATAATTTTCGACGCTGCCGTTGCATCATGCCACAAACTACCCCAGACTTTTTGCATAGCTATCACATTTTCTCCTGTACTAAGTTGCGGCTGACCTTTTTCTTTATTCCATTTAAAAAAAGTAATTTCTTGTCCATCATCATACCGCCATTTTGATGTGTTTCCAACACGTGTTCCTTGGATGAAAATGTTACCATTTTCTTGTTTTGAGTCTAGAACTGGTAAAGAACCTACAAAAACAAATAACAAAATATAACTATTAAAAGTCAATGTGTAAGAAAGTCTTTGAAACACTTCAAATATAATTGCTTTGATAAATAATTTTCACATTATCCTATATGAAAGAGTTTAATGGGTTTTGCTAAAGTCGTATTAAATTTTAAAATTGTTAAAGTTTTCATTTTTGCTCTGTCTTTTAAGTCACCGCAAATAAAAAGCTGCATGTAAACGTTAAAAATTTAACCACCAAATGCGCCCCATATGACACTTTAATTTCATTACGTATACAGAATCCAGTAAGACTACTGAGCTGATGATGCCCTCGGGGACTGATAGTCCACCAGCAGAGGTATCGACTTAGTGCTGTAAAAAAATGAAAATAACAAGTTATAAATTTCATGCGTCCGAAGCGCTTTTCTATATTTACCTTCATCAGGAACGCTCAATGCCAAATATTTGAAAGCCAAGGATGTATAAGGACCGAAAACGTTGAAAAGCTATAAACCAAAAAGGACCTAAAAAAATACCCAAATCCATCTAAGGCCAACTTTGCCTGGGGGAGTTGAAACCTTAGTTTCTGTAAAATTTCAAAATTTATAAACGGGCAATTTTAGATAGTTTGTCATAAATCATGCCAGTACTAGTAACTCTCTCATTAAGTTGTACCCACTTATTCTTTTATTCATATACATGTATGTATCTGATCTAGTTTTGATAACGAGACTTGTTTTTAAAAAAGGGGAAAGGTTCTTATGTACTTAGTTTTGTATTGTATTATCCGGCATGACTATTATCGGAGTGTCGATCACTTTCGGTTAATTAGTAATAACTTTAATTTGTTTGTCGTACTTGTTTACGTTAACGAGTATATATGCGTTCATACCCCGCTCGCACTATTACTTTTTAAAGTTCTGTGAAGTGCAAAATTTGGTTCAAAACCCTTCTGTTTAATCTATTTGAAAAAAATCATAATTATGAAAAAGTGTACTGATAAAATTTAAAATGGAAACGGGGAATGTGTCCAAGAGACAACAACTCGACTTAAGAGCAGAAAACAGCCCAAGGACACCAATGGGTCTGCAACACAGCGAGAAAATCCCGCACCCGGAGTCGGGCTTCAACTGGTCCCTAACCAAAAAAGTGTACTAGTTCGGGGAAAATGGACGTCACACTAAACTCCGAAATATATAGGTGAAACAAAATTAAAAAAATATACAAGACTAACAAAGGCCAGAAATTCCTGACTTGAGACAGGCGCAAAAATGCGGCGGGGTTAAACATGTTTTGTGAGATCTCAACCGTCCCCCTATACCTCTAGCCAATGTAGAATAAACAAACACATAGCAATACGTACAGTAAATTTCAGTTTAAAGGAAGTCCGAGTCCGATGTTAGAATAGGTAACAGAAGAAAATAAGTAAAATGACAATGATAACACAAATTAGCAAAGGACTACTAGCAGTTACTGACATGCCAACTCCAGATCTCAGTTAAACTGATTGAAAGATTATACGGTTGATGTTATAACGAACTTCATGGTTAGCTACCTTAACCAAAAAATTAATCTTGACCAGTGATCCGCGAAATCTAGGTCAAAACAAATGAATACTTTGCCTCTGGCCTTTGTTAGTCTTCAAGTTGTATGTTTTTTTAATTTTAGTTCATTTATATGTTTTGGAGTTTAGTATGACAGCTCCATTACTGTCATAGTATGTCCATTTTTGTATATGATGTTTTTTAATTAAACTATGCGAGTTTATGATATCATGGTGTGGTTTTGCCTTTATAAAAAGTAAAATAACTAAAATACCGAACACCAAGGGAAATTCAAAACGGAAAGTCCCTTATAAAATAGCAAAATCAAAAGCTCAAACACATCAAACGAATACTTATGTATTCTTTTGAACTGCGTGCATTAAGATTTTAACATTTACACAGTTAACATCAAATATAACTTGAATCGTAAATACTGAATACAATTTTTTTAAAACAAATTCATCATGATTTGAATGAATGGAATGTCACTTCATCGGGCAAAACAATGCCTCTTGAAAAAAGAGAGAACAAGGAAACTGTTTGAAAACAACAGTCTTAAAATCATTTGCTTCAATACGAAAAAAAAGTATGATGGATGAAAACCAACAATAACCACTGGCCTGGACTACTTGTGTATTCCTTTGAGGGGCTGATATTCGGATTTTAACATTTACACTTTTCTTGTAACACAGCTAACAACGAAAACAACTTGGCCTTGGTAATAGAATTTTGAATCGCAAATACTGCATACAATTTTTTTTAAATCAAATTCATCATGTTTTGAATGAATGAAATGTCACTTCAACACGCAAAAAAATGCCGCTTGAGAACAAGGAAATCATTTAAAGAGAACAGTTTTAAGATCATTACCAGTCAATACGATCAAAAAGTATGATTGATGGCAACCAACAATAGCCATTTGCCAGGACTACTTGTGTATTCTTTTGAGGGGCTGACACCCGGATCTAACATTTATTTAGTCGATACTTGTAACACAGCTAACAGAAAAGATCATATGACCTTGATAACACCTAGACTGGTTCCATGTCCTCTATCTGTTTGGCTCTGAGAGATATACCCGTATGTTGCAATGGAGAGGACCACCCTAGATAAAACCGGGTATCCCGATCCGAAATCCGCGGAGGGATCCGAGTCCAGAGGAGCAATTAATGAAAAGTGTGTAACGGTGGGTAGGTAAAATCTTGATCCGATTCCCACGGAGAAATTATGCGCCGGGTCCTGATTTTACTTACCAACCGTTACAAACTTTTCACTAATTGCTGCTCGGGATTCGGATCCCTCGGCGGTTTCGGCTCGGGACACCCGGTGTGTTAATACTGAAACTTTGAATATTCATGCCCTTAAATCAAATCCATCATATCTTTAATCAATGCAACGGGATTTCATTATGCAAAAACATGCCGCTTGAGAAGTAAAAAAAAAAACCAAAGGAAATAGTTTAAAGAAAACAGTTTGAAAAATTATTAATCGTCAATGAGAACAGAACATTTTCATTATGCAAGAACATGCCGCTTGAGAAATAAAAAAAATAAGGAAATTGTTTAAAGAAAACAGTTTGAAAACCATTACTCGTCAATGCGAACAGGACATGTCATGGACTTTTTTATTACTTTTTATTTCCGACGCTTTAGAAATTTCTTATGAAGATGTCCATATAATATCATTATAATGTCATTTTAACATCATTTTAAAGTAAAATCACGCTATATAATTGAAAAATCACATCATAAAATGATAAAGGCACATCATCATTCAACATATTAATTGATCATATAAATAAATGAAAATGGACATGATTAGCCAGTTTTGACATTCCATGAGAACCACTGGATTACTCGTGTATTCTATGGGTTTGCTGATCATGACATTCCATAAGAACCACTGGATTACTCGTGTATTCTATGGTTTTGCTGATCATGACATTCCATAAGAACCACTGTATTACTCGTGTATTCTATGGGTTTGCTGATTATGACATTCCATAAGAACCACTGGATTACTCGTGTATTCTATGTGTTTGCTGATCATGACATTCCATAAGAACCACTGGATTACTCGTGTATTCTATGGGTTTGCTGATCATGACATTCCATAAGAACCACTGGATTACTCGTGTATTCTATGTGTTTGCTGATCATGACATTCCATAAGAACCACTGGATTACTCGTGTATTCTATGGGTTTGCTGATCATGACATTCCGTAAGAACCACTGGATTACTCGTGTATTCTATGGGTTTGCTGATCATGACATTCAGTTTTTAACATGTAGTCTTTACTTGTAACACAGATAACAACAAAAATGACTTGACCTTGGTACAAGAACGTTGCATTGCGAATATAGCATACATTTAAATCAAGTTCACCATATCTTGAATCAATGCCATTGGACTACATTATGCAAGAACATGCCGCTTGTCAATGAGAAGTAAAAAAGTACAAGGAAATTGTTAAAAGAAACAGTCAGAAAAACCCTTTACGCGTCAAAGAAAACAGGACTTGTAATGGATTTTTTTTGCTACTTATTATTTCCAACGCTTTATAAATTTCTTGTCGTGATGTACGTATAACAAAGAACTAGAGTAAACATGGTAAAAAACGTTTATCAATGATTTGTAAAAAGGAAAATTCAAAATCAATAAATATTACGTTTTTTTAATCAGACTTAAAAGCTATTTTTTATTCTTATTGACATGGTATTGTTTTCATTTTATGAGTAAAAGAGCACATGTACAACAAGTTAGCGATATCCATTCGTTGGCAAAAATACAAATAAATAAGTTACTTCAATCAAAGAGCACATGTACAACAAGTTAGCGATATCAATTCGTTGGCAAAAATACAAATAAATAAGTTACTTCAATCAAAGAGCACATGTACAACAAGTTAGCGATATCAATTCGTTGGCAAAAATACAAATAAATAAGTTACTTCAATCAAAGAGCACATGTACAACAAGTTAGCGATATCCATTCGTTGGCAAAAATACAATAGATAAGTTACTTCAATCAAAAAACACCAAAAGATAATCAATTATTATGTGATGTCCTTTCCCATGTTTAAACATCATATATAATAACAAGTGCATATCATTTAATGTCGTGTCCACATCATGGAAAGGTAAAACCACACGATTAAAAATCACATCATAAAACGGCAAAACATATCATATAATCAAAATATCTACAAATTAGTCAAATGCCTGAAACTAAAATTACAGGTGAGCGATATCACTTACCAGGCTCTCACGAGCCTCTTGTTGGACTTATTTCCCTCCTGGTCTTCTCACTCTCTCTCGTGTGTATGTATAATATTTTACAATGGGTGTCGATATTCTGGTTTGCCCACATGCATTTAATTGCAGGTTTATAAAACATAGGGTGTTTTGTTGTTTTAGCAATTATAGTTTATTTAATAATTAACGCTTAAAACATCAAACGAAAAACAAACAAGGCA